TACTACTTCATGGAGACATATAGGTTTCATCACTAAATTCAAGGACAGTGACCATAATTTGTGAACCCCATTGGCCAAGTCGCTAAATAGTTGCTTTATTGACCATTATCACGTAGTCATTATATTATATGGCCTCTAAATGGGGGTTTTTCTTGTAGTGAATAGATACCTTTACTGTTGCCCATAATACGTATTCGTTTGAATTCAATATCCTCGGTAAGAATTTGCCACATAACTTCCCAAACATGTTCTGGCCTAGTCAATCTACAATTGAGTAACATTTTAACAAAGAGCTGCCTGATATAGTGACCAGTCTCTACTTGTCGAGCTTCTTGAATGTATTCAATGCATTATTGAGAAGACCTAGCGCAATGCAAGAATCTTCAAAAGTATCATGCACTTTACCATCATTGTCTCTTTGTCAGTATAAAACGTTGGCCCTTTTAATTATGTTTAACAATATTCACCAATCTCAAGAGAGTCGACATAGTGCATCCTACCTGCCATTTTCTTGTTTCCTTAATGTCCATATATTCTTGGTTGTATTCCACAAAAACTTTGATGACAGGGGCGGAGGAAGGTTATAGCCAACTAGGGCAGTTGCCCCAACTCAAATTTTTTAAAATACCCCTTATATATTACTAAATTATAAGAAATATCACCAAATTTTAAAATATTTTCAATCTTGCCCCAGTGAGATTTGCATATAATTTGTTTGCCCCACCTACTATTGGGGGCTTGGCTCCGTCCCACATGTGTAGATTTTGCATGTATCTTCTTAAAACACACTACTGATCTTTTGTTAGGAGCGAAATCAACTGGAGATAAAATCCTGTGATGGATGGGCCAAAATGTGAAATTATTGATAATCATATGTATTAAGCACAATGGATGGACATCTTTCTGCTGGCACCCATCGTTTGTTCATTGGCATCAATTCATCACCAATACCCCATGTCATCATCTTGGCATGCATGAAACCCTCGAGACAACCCTGTAAACAAACTAACACATATTTTTCAAGATTAGCCGCGTCAAGCCAAAAGTGGTAGCCATATTAACTGATTTACTTGGCTTTCCAGGTAAGAATAGGGGAGGAAAGCAATGAGAATTCCCAGTACTGGATCTACTAACTTCAAAGCATCAGGCCAATTGAAGCATACCAAGTCTTTTCTTATTGGGCTTATTCGGTGGATTTCTCTTTCCCGCTAAATATAGCTGTTAGTTTATCTCCCATTAGCTTTGCAACATCAGTGGACAAATTGAAACTGACAAATTTATAAGTGTGGGAGACCCAAGGGAGTTGGTGTTGTTGAATAAATCAACTATATTTCAATAATATTTTTTGGATATATGAAAACTTTATTGAATGGTAAACTAGTGAATTGACTTAGTTTTTTACTCAAGCTGAGATAAGACCCTCAAACTAAATCAAGCTTAGAAAAAGTCTTATAAATTGGTTGCTAAATAATCTTCCCAACATGACTGGAGATCTTATAATATATGGAAAGCAGTTTTTGTTTTTTTTGAATACCAATGGGCATAATTTTGCTATATAAATAGAGTTGAACATTCCATTTGCAAAATGCACCACTACAAACGTTCCTCTTCTCTCTGATCTTTCTTTCGGCTGTTCAAGGCTTAAAAACCAATTTTTTTCATTCACGACCAAAAGCTTTTGTTTTCTTTGTTTTCTGATGTTGGCAAATTAATTAAGTGCAAAAGCCTTGAGCTATTTTAGCACTATTTTCTGTGGTCTTCAAATCAAATTTTTATTTCTTTATTTATTTTGCTAAGATTAATATTATTTAATTGTTCTTGTTCCCTCTATTAATTGGAGGAAGACTTATTTAATCTTAGGAAGACATTTCAAAACCATTGGAATAGTTTCTTAAGGACAGTGTTTTTTAGCACGACTCAAATATTGTTTTATTTTTTACATTGGCATTTAGCCTACATTTTTCCTATAGGTGTTGTATGCCGCACAAACAGCAACCTATCACCAGCAAAATTACGATGGTTTTTCTGCAAACTAAGCAAACATAATGGATCCTTCAATATATCAAATCACATCTTTTGGACCAGCCGACAATTAGGAATTGATTCATACTAGACTTTGGACAAAATGTTGTTATGCAACTTGTATGGGAGATCACGAATGGTGGTGAGACGTCATAGTAAAGTCACGGGCACATTTGGCTCATGGAATTGCTTGTTCAAGAAATACAATGAAAGAGCTGAACTGCTCATGACTAACTTTGACTTGATAATGAAAAGAAAGATGAATCAAAGTTGCGAGAGGACATGATGGCTGGTAATACTATGCGAAGTCGCTTTATATAGGACGTGGGATATGGCAGGAAAAATCTCGGTAATTAATGTTTTCATACCAATTAGGTGATTAATGAAACTTTTGGTTAATGAACTCTAGGTAGTACGATTCATTCAATTCTTATCTCATTTATTTATGAGATTCCTAAGAAATGGTAATTGATTAAGCAAAAGGAGGTTCTTTTACACTTTAGGAGTATATATTCACATAATCAATGTTTCGAACACTTCAAATTACCCGCATCAAAATACACCCAATTGCAATAATAGATTTTAATTTTTTATTATTGAGGTAACTGATAATTACTATTGCAAATAGATTTTTTTCTTCAAAAACTAATAAATATAAGAACCACCAATTACCAAATAATATAATTATCATCAATTTTTGTCAATTAAGGTTTCGTAATCTAGGTAGTAACATATGTTATTAATTTTGATCTGAGCCTAAATTAATTAATATTTACATTGGTTGCCATTTGTTTCAAGTTTTGGAAACAAATGAGATCAATGAAGATATTGGAAATGTTTTCACAATGAAATTAAATATACATGAATAAATGAACACACATTTAAAGCGACTGATTTACGTAATTACATACAATTATGGGACGAGTTGTTTTACGGGGAGAAGAATCTCCTACACCACAGTCCTACAACACTTTCCTAAAACCCCCATATAATTTTTATCGCAATTTTCTAATTAAATTATTACTTTCTTTTCTTAAAATTTTACTAACATCCTAACCCACCATTGGATAAACCTGTCAGGGTTATGTGTCAAAATCTTGATTCAATGTTCCTTCACAAAGAATATCCTCACTACAATCCTACAACACTTCTTAAACCACCATATAAAACTTGTCACATCATTTTATGTAATTATTATTTTCCTTTTCTAAATTTTTACTAACACTCTAGCCCACTATTGGATGAACAAGCCATGTGTCAAAATATTAATTACATGGTGTATGAAATGGTGTAGGAAACCTTTCGCTGTTTCGAGGTTTGGAAATATGATCACCGAATATATCATAAGTGTTTCCACAATAACCAATTAACCAATTTTGATTGAGTTCTTACCAGACTTGCATAATAAGTAAAATCCCCAAATATGTTATAGGTGTTTTCACAATAAAATCCCCGAATACGGGCGTTGAAATTTTTCGCAGCGTGGGAACATTGATAGCCCACAATGATTAAAGGAAGTGAATCTCATTGGACTCCACAATTAACAAATTGCTTAACTTTCAAAATGCGTGTTGTGAGCAAATATGACGGGTTTTCTTGGTTGGATGTTATAAGAAAAACGTGAAGAAAGAGATTTAAAACTTTTATTAAGTCTTTTAGAATCTTAAAACAAACTCAAATTTGCATAATTATAATCAGACAAGAAAAACAATGTGATTTTCTTGAAACAGCGCACATTCAACGCATTGCAATCGTTACACATGTAGAAATTATCAAATTTTTAACAAATCGTAAAGCAAGAAAGATGAAAAGAAAGAAATTTAAATTAAATCTGTGTATGATAAAAGGTTGCAAACTGCAATTTATGCACTAATGCTTTAGGAAGCGACAGTGTTAGTGTATCAAAAATTCTGGTGAAATTGATAGCACTAATCTTCTTACTCGATTTGTTACCTTCATGCTTTTCGACTCGAAATTGGTAAAAAAATTTATATCCATTCATACATACATTAAGTCAATTTTTAAAACTCTATGAACCATTTAATTATGTTGTAAACCCCCAAATCAATCTTAATCTGTAAACACATTAAATAAAAAACCACACAAAAATGACTTTAATAACAATTAATGAAAACTGTTAAACAAATCAAAATGCATACTTCAAAATAGTGCAAGTGTCTGGGGAAAATTAATAAAATTCGAAAACCTTATTCATATCTAAAAAACAGAAAGCACAATATCAATGATCTAATATATTAATCCATCAAGTGGGTTAAAATCATAAAATGGAAAGACAATGATGAAGCACAGCCGATGTCTAGGTTCTTCAAAAAGTTTTTAAAATATAAGGATGATGATGCAGCACAGTTGCCATTTTTATTTAACAAAAATATTCATAAAAGCAAAGGATGATGATGCAGCACGACTACTGTCATTACATGAAGTGAAACGTTTCGCAATGGAAAAATTAAAAACACCATCGTCTGAAATGATACTGCAGTGGTATATGTCAGTGTCGAATTCGATCCTCTTTTTTGTTACAGATTTATGGTTCTGCACATTGTCGTTGCCATCATCAATGACTTTATAAAGTCTTGTCTTTAAATTTGGAGAGTCTACAGTTGCGTTCTCTTCATCATCACCAATGACTTCAAGACATTCATTCAAAATTTCATGTACCTAACAGGAAGATTGTAAAAACAGATGACAAAAAGTTGGTTTGCGCAATTATGGATTATCAACAAATGAAACTTTGATCAGTGTCAATTACCTTGGGGTGATTGCATGTTGTGGACACGGAAAGCATTGGCATGGGTGATCTATAGATATTGTCCTAAATCCAAATGACATGAATCAAAAAATGTAGGTAATACAAAATGATATTGGTAAGTGGTTGGACTGTGAATCAAAACATTTGTTCATGACCTCCTCATCAGCAGTGATCATCCTCACGGCGTACACCTTTTATTTTTACTGACATTCCAGCCCGAGACTTCCCACTTGAGCACCATCCTTTTACCAACCAACTGCAACAACTCTTCTAGGAATATTTCAACACCGTTAACCTATGGCAATAAATGCAGTCAAATATCACATTTTATAATTAGTGCCTTAGAACAGTTGGTATATAACAATGAATCTATATAAAGATCATAAAGTTTTCAATATAAAACCTCTTTAACTTCTTCACATATTGTTATACACAATTTTTTACCATACTGAACACATCCCAAAATCAAAGAGGACAAAACAAGCACTTCCAGTTGAATCCATCAACTGCACCTGCCCTTTTAGATGCAAAAAATCAGACGAATTAAATGATATTCATTCATTTTCAATCCGAAAATCCGATGAAATAATAAAACGACATTACTTTGGGCTGACTGCAGTAACAATTTTAGGACATCCAGTCGTGTTGCAACAGAACATGGTGGAAGCCTACAAATTTGGGACTCTTTTCTTTCCATGGTTTCCTTCTTGTTTGATACCAGTATAAGTAGAAAATTTTACCTTTTTGTTGCACTTATTGCAGCCAAGATACCACCATGGCACTTCCGTGTTAACTGAGTCAATCGTTGCCAGAGTGATATAATCACTCAGTGAAAGCTGAAATTTACATAATAATGTTAATTGGTTGTCATATATATGCAAATGCATCATAATAAATGTTTAGCAACGTCACCTCTGTGATGTCTGATATTTCTTCAATCAGCTTATTTTCACATTTGACAAAATCAATGGTTGTTACATTAGAAGCACTGGTATTGATTGATTCTATTCTCCCATTAGCGTCATACTCATCATTTGCAATCAATCTATAGAGAGGAAAAAGAGGCAATCAAAATAGATATCACACAAATTAGGTATTTGAAACAAACAGTGATTATTAAATGAGGTACCAAATTGTTTCTAAAATTAGTGATCTCATCAAGATCACCATTTATCCAAATTCTGGCACCCCACATGATATTGGTGACACCTATTAAAGTGATTAAGCCAATAAGTAACACGTGAATGTGGCAGTTAATGCCAAATCATGCATAACTATGCAAGTAAGAATTAATTATGATGTGTATACCTCCACATTTATTGATCGTGAAAAAAATGCATATCACAATTGGGCGTATGCCTATTTCGTACGACAGCACATCATCAGCATGCTCGCCAAAAAACACACAACTTACTTTGTTCTTCCTGCACAAATTTATACCATATTTTGTTCTTATAAGATCTTCCATAAAAACACTCAAAAAGTTGTAAACATACTCTTCATCTTCCGAATGTATAATGATCCCTCTTATTTCCCTTCCATCATATGTAGTGTACTTGTTGATATCCCTAACCCCAACAACTTCACCAATTATATCTGCATGCAAAAATCACAATCATCTATATTCAATATAGAAACCATTGTGCAAATTTTAGGATCTGTTGGAACATGGGTCCACGAACCGGGTTTGTCCGCCCATGACAATCCAACCAAAATATGTTTTGACCCGATAGAGTTGGTTAGATAGAATAAGTCTGTTACCAACTCAAATCAAATCCTTCCTATCCAGATAACGAATCGTTATCTGGTTGAGTACACTATGTAACCGTAAAATCTCTCTCTCCCTTGTTAAATACGGTATCATCTGATATTCAGAGAGACTAGAGAGAAAAACGCAATACTACCACATTATACAGAGAGTAGGTTCTTTGTCAGTTGATTGAGACAATTACACTTGATCAGTGGAAACAAGGTTGGATCTCTTGAAGGTTCAATCATCGGGTTCAAAGCATAAAAGGGTAAGATCCTTTGGTTATTTCTGCATCAGTTTAAGGTCAGTAAAATTCCTTCATTGGTATCAGAGCTTGGTTTGTGCTCTTTCAATGTTTGAACATGAGTACCAATTTAATTTTGGATTGACTGTTGCCCGCCGATGTGTGGCTTTGCTAATTGATGATTGTTGTCCGCCAATGTGTGGCATTACCGAAGAGAAAAACATGAACAAAATTTAATGTTTTTGGGCTGAAGTTAAGCTACTGACTTTTTTTATTAAATTACAGCAATTTTTTGGCCGAATTAAATTGATCTGTTGAAATTGCTCCAATTAAGGAAACAGTGGGTTTCATATTTTTTTTTTCTTGCAACAAACATAATTGATTTGTGAAGCACAATGGGGGATTAATAAATTAGTTTGATCTGATTGCCACTTTTTTTTGCGGCAATTTGTTAAAATATGGACTACGGCGGTTCTTTAAGACATGAGTTGATTGCTTTAGCAAATTGTTGTAAACATTTAAATGGCACGGCTGAATCTCTTTTTGGTGGACAGAAGCTTTATTTCATTTTTGTTGGCCAGAATTGGCTTGAATATTTGTATCAATTTTTTTGTGTGCACTAACATACTTTTTTTTTTGTTAAGACAATTTTTTTTTTGTGGCTGTTGAATTTTTTTGGGGAGGGGGAGGAGGAGGAAGGTTTCATTCCAAAAACAGAACGATGGCATGTTAATTTTTTTTGGAGAAATCTGGGTGCCATTCTTTTTCCACTTAAATCCTGGATCAATTTTTTTTTTGGTTCTGCAGCGGCGCCAACAACAAAAAAAAATGTTTTTTTGCAGTGAACGATATGTACTGCATCCACATGCCTAGTTTTTGCAATGATTCAGAAAAAGTGGGAGTATTGTATAAGGTTTCTGAAATTTATTCGAATCAAGTGTTGAAACTTTTTTTTGGTATACTTAAAAAATTTTTCCGTTTTACAACTTCTTTGAGTTTGACTATTTACTTTATGCATAGTTGTATGCCTGTATGCCAATATGTGTCTATATATTTGATTGGACTTTTTGCAACAAAATTATATGAAATTTTTATTCCTAGAAGGCAATTATTATGCAATGTGATTCTAAGCATAGCAAAGTTTCCGTTGTATATTATTTGGTCTTGTTATAATTGTTTATATAATTGTTGATGCATTATATATGTGCTTATCAAAAAATTTTGTGCATTGTGTTGTTGTTGGATAGATGACTTCCACAAAGCAAAACATTGCTGATTTGAACAAGGGTGAGAAATTCAACGATGACAATTTTGACATTTGGCACCATAAGATCCAGTATGTCCTTGAGAAGCAAGAGGTCATTAAGACTTTGACTACTTGGCTTGGGTTCCCGAGGGGATACTAGTGCTGAACAACGACGTGATCAACAAGTATATAATGCTTGGAAGAAGAAAAGCAATACTGCTCGCATCACGCTGTTGAGTAGTATGGAAAATGATCTGTTGTGCGAGTATGAGCAGTACACCTTGGCATACGATTTGTGGAATGCTCTAAACCAAAAGTTTGGCAAGGCCTCTACCACCAAGCTGCGCCATCTAACTTTGAAGTTTGACAGCTATAAGAAGCTTCATGATCACTCGATGAAACAGCATCTGATGATCATGTTAACAATGATACGCGAGCGCTAAGGGAAGTAGGGGCTAACCTATCTGATGAGCAGCAGATCCATGCAGTGATCCGATCATTTCCTAGCAATCGGAAGCATATGAAAGTCAACTTGACGCACAATATGAGCATTGTTAATTTCAGGAACATTGCTCGCCACTTGGAGTTGGAGGAAGAGTGCTTGTCAGCTGCTAACCCTCCAAGTGCGTTAGTTGTTGAGTCTAATTTACACAAGGCATCTGGGCCTAAGCGGAAGAGGATTGGTAATGCCCGTGAGAATGGACATGCGCCTAGGAAAGCTAAACACCAAAGAGGAAAACGAGCTGGCAAGAAAGATAAGAGTAAGATGATCTGCTATAATTGTGGTCAAGTTGGTCATTTTGCACGTGAATGTACCATGCCGAAGAAAGATTGAAAGGTAAGCATTGATCACATTCCTTGGGTTTCTTCTTATGTAGTATCTATTGTGTTAGTTTTTTAATCCCTCCATTCGTGGATTGCAGACTCAGGTGCAACAGACAACATCTCAAGAGACAGTAGGGTTCGTTGACTTTCTCAAGTTCTAGTTGGGAGCATCAAAGTATACATGTGGAACAACTCGGGTAGATGTTCATGGCATTGGCACTTTCAAGTTGGAAATACGGAATGCGCGCGTTTTATATCTCCATGATACACTTTATGCACCTAATATGCGGCAGAATTTACTTTCTATAAACACAATGCTTAAGCTTGGTTTTCATATTATTTTAGATAATAATTGTATGGATCTCTATAATGGAACAGTTTTTTATGGTTCTGATTTTATTATGAATAATTTTATGGTTATGGATATTAATTCAAATAATAGTCCTATTTTTCATAATAATTTTTCTTCGTTTGCTTCAATTGATAGTAGCAATTATGTGGGATAATAGATTGGGTCATATAGGGCAAGATCGAATGAAACGTTTAGCTAGAAGGCCTTTTAGGCTCCCTCGCTAAACTTGACATGTCCACATGTGAACGTTGTTTGACAAGAAACTTAACCAGAAAATCATTTTCTAATGCAAAAAGGGCTAATTCTCCATTGGACTTAATCCATTCTGATGTATGTGGCCCAATTAATGTGAAGGCACATAATGGTAGTTCCTATTTCATCACATTTATAAATGACTTTACACACTTTGGTCATATCTTCTTGATCTCCCATAAGTCAGAAGCATTAATTGCTTTAGACACTACCTTGATTTTGTTGAGAATCAATTAGAAAGAAAGGTCAAAAGCCTACGTACTGACCCAGGCCGAGAGTATCTATCTGATCAATTCAAGGAATTATGTGAAAGAAAAGAAATTATCAGGCAGCTAATGATTTCTTATACTCCGCAACAAAATGGTGTAGCGGAAAGGAGCAATCAAATGTTACTTGATATGGTTAGGTCTATGATGGCACAAGCAAATTTGCCTATTTCCTTTTGGGGAGATGCATTGTTGACTGCTGTTTATATACTTAATCGTGTGACTTCTAAGTCGGTTCCTTCTACCCCATACGAGCTTTGGACTGGTCGAACACCAAGTCTTGAAAATCTCGGTCCATGCGGTTGTGCTGCTTATATACATAACACTTCTCATCGATATGGGAAGTTAGGACCTTGAGGCAAGAAATGTATCTTCATAAGGTACTTTGAGCACTCTAAGGGTTATGTATTTATTGGTGAGCAGCAAGATGGAAGTGTAACTGAGATTGAGTCACGCAATGTAGAGTTTTTGAAAAATGATTTCCCTAGTAAACGCGAGGTAAATGAAAACTTAGAACTCTATGAGCTAAGGAATACGGAAATCAGTGCTTCCTATAACCCTATTGAAGGGGATATTCCTCAACATCTTGGGAATAGCGGAAGCGACATTCCTTCGACTAGCTCAATAGGACCCAATGAGAGTTCTGAGGAGTTTTATCCTTGGTGAAGTAAGAGCAGAAATATTCCCCATCGTCATTTTGAGATTGAAGGGGAAGCTTTCATGGCTGATGTTTATGATGAAGATGAGCCTAGAAATTACAAAGAAGCTATCTCATCTAAGGCTAGTAAGGAATGGATTAAAGCTATGGAAGATGAAATGGAATCAATGAGGACCAACAAAGTCTGGGACTTAGATGATCTTCCACCTGGGTGACAAGCTATGGGGAACAAATGGGTTCTTA